CACATCAGCATCCCAAACTGATACAGCTCCAGCAGCGTTTTTCCAGGAACAGAGAATCCATGGTTGGATGTTGGTCCATGCCACCAACAAAGATGTTAAACTGCACCAGTCCCAGTACCGACCCCTGAGGAACACCACTCGTCACTGGTCTCCACTTGGACATCGAGCCATTGACCACAACTCTTTGAGTGTGACCGTCCAGCCAGCTCCTTATCCAAGGACTATACTTATTTTAGGTGAATAAATTTTATGGACCATTCTTCCTTGTAGTCTCTAAACGATCTCTTTCTGTCAGGCCCCAGTCTCCCCTCTTGCCCCTCCTACCCCACCCAGTCAGGGTGCTTGCAGCAACTCACCTTTTCCTTTTTTATTCTTTGAGTCAGCTGCATAAATATGCAAAATACATACAACTACCAGCAGGCCTAGGCAAACACTGCGAGTGCAGGATTCTGCATGAACAAAAACCTCACATTTAATGCAGTCTTTGTTGCAACAGTGACAGTGCAACCTTTAAAGCATCGGGCTATTAAGTCTACTACGTAAAAAGTCAGGTTGTTTCTACCCTAGAAATATTTAACATTCTGTTCTTTCTGCTGTATTACAAATTCCAAGCTCTGTTTAATGCTCTGCATTTGAATGGGACTCTCAATTACATGAGTCACCGCAACTATCCTTTGATTATTTTTTTCCTTTTTTTTGTCACGTACATGTAATCTGAATCCCCAACTGCTGGAGCCTGAAGCTTGCTCTGCACACTTGAAGTGCCACAACAAAATGGGCTGAAATGTTACATTCAGTTTTGAGCTGCTCATGGCAAGCAATGCTGCCCGTGTGTTTTGTCACTGCTGTCACTTCCTTGTGAACTGTGGCAGAGAAGTGGAGGTGATTTCACCTTGAACACAACCCCTCCCTAAACTGCCATTGTACAGGAGAACTATGTGGTTGCACATTATGGTAGGGGCAGGTAGAACAAACACCATTCTAAGATGAGGGAGGAGGAAGAGCAAAGAGGGTGAATGATCCAGTTACCTAGAATCCTCACAGAATCATAGAATGGTTTAGGTTGGAAGGGACCTTCAAGATCATCTAGTTCCAACCTGTGCCGTGGGCAGGGACACTTCCCACTAGACCAGGTTGCTCAAAGCCCCATCCAACCTGGCCTTCAGGGATGAACGCTTCCAGGGATGGGGCATCTACAACTTCTCTGGGCAGCCTGTGCCAGTGTTTCACCACCCTCACAGTAAAGACTTTCTTCCTAATATCTAATATAGATCTACCCTCTTCCAGTTTAAAACTGTTACCCCTTGCTGAGGCTGCACTCAATCCCACTATCCATGCCACCAACAAGGATGTTAAACCGCACCTGTCCCAGTACTGGCCCCTGAGGAACACCACTCATCACTGGTCTCCACTTGGACATTGAGCCATTGACTGCAACTCTTTGAGTGCCACCATCCAGTCAATTCCTTATCCACCAAGTGGTCCATCTGTCATATGCACGTCTCTCTGATTTAGAGGAAAGTATGCCTGCAGGATATATGCAGTATCTCTCACTGCTGGGTGACACGCCACACTGGCTGGTGCTAATAAGAGTACAAACATCCTTTTCACACCCCAGTAAATCTATAGGTGTTAGCTATGGATTCTTTACCAGCCTTGCTACGTATGTAACCCCTGTTAAAGTTCACCTGTCACATCCACAGTCTGCCATAAACAGGTGCAAGTTGCGAATGAGGGCCCATGTTAGCATCCTGTCTTCTGAGCAGCTCTTCTACACACTTCTGGATTAGACCAGCATCAAACCTATGCTCTGCAGGCTTTTAAGGTAAGTATGACATGTACATCTGGATGAATGTGTCTTGGTGGTCAGCTGAATCATGCGCTTAAGAGTCTGATTTAAAGGGACCCATGCTGACTTTGCACACATTTTGTGGTCAGGTTGGCAGTGGAGGTTATTGAAGAAAATGTCTTTTTCTCACTTGTGAAAAGCTGAATTTGATGCCTACGCACAGTGGCTTTTCTGGGAAAGCAAATTTTCTAGGAATGCCAATTACAATTTTAGGAAGGAAACAATGTGGCAATTTGCAAATTCAGATCAAGTTTTGGCACAGAAGAAGAGAAGCAAGGCTTGAGAAGAAAAGGTCATAGCAAAACACTACGAAACAGGTAAAAACCTGTTTTCTCCGTTTGTCTCCTTTCCCATCTTTTTCAAGCCAGCTTCTTACTAGAAAAGCTGCTTTCCATCTCGTCTAAACTTCCATCACTCTGTCAGTATGATGCAGGAAAGCACTGCCTGAAAATAGAGCTTTTCTTTTACTAGAGGATAATTACTAGTTGTTCACTGTCTCATTATAAAATCCTACTGAAGGCCAGGATTTTACGATGAAGATGCTAAAAAGCATCAATATTAGAACTTATACAGGAAAAACTGTACTGTTTCATCTGTCCCCTGTCCCCTGCAAAACCACCACTTCTCTGGCGGAGAAGGTAGAACACAACACCTCTTTCCTTCCTTTCTACAAGATCTGTCTGATTTAAATTGAAAGCTCTGTAGGGTGGGAACCTGTTAGGAACTACATTAAGAATGTGTATTGTAAAGAACTATGTTGCACAAAAAAAAAATTAAAAAAAACATAATCAAAGATTAACCAAAGCCTCAACTGTAGGTCCCAGGAATGACAGTATAATTATTTTTAGAGATGACTATAGCAGTAACTCAACATGACACGAGAGACCTGAGAAACAGCAAGCCTGATTTAAACCAATGGAAAAGCCAGGAATGCAGAATGGAGACTGTTCTTAATGCACCATATTGCATCTGAACATTTTGTTCCTACCCATCTATCCAAAGCATGACGTTTTGCATTTCATATTAACATTCTGAAGACATTAAAGGATTCTTCAATTTGATGTTCATATGCTGTGTCAGAACATGCACTCTGACTGCTTTGAGAGATTTTATGTCTACCTTTTATTCATCTTCCCTCCTTCAGCCTCCTAACCATCCTCCCTCCTGCTCCCCAAAAATCCCTGGGGCTATTT